TCTTGATTGGCTTGTACCAGTAATTCAACTTCCCTGGCCCTGAGCACACTGTTAACCCTAACAGGTTTGGGGTTTTTTGGTTTTGTTTTTAAAAGGGGGGAAGTTGGATTTTGATTAAATAAACCACTATGATAGTTCTTTTCCAGTGCCTACAACAAGCATTGGAAAGTGTAGGATTAAGTGGGTATAGGGTTATTTGCCGCAATCTACCATTCATAATGGTGTATTAAATGCTCTTACAGAAAAATGTTCAACTGTTCACTTGGTCCTTTCAAACCTCATTATTATAAATGTATTTCTTAGACTTGAGCGTATTCCTTTCTTTGCCCTGTTTCACTTGTCTCCGTTTCTCAGCCTAGGGAATATATGCTATGAATGTCTTTTTTCTCCCTCATAATGTCCTTCCAACTTGTTGGTCTGAGTGTTTTGTTTTATTCCTCTGTTGATCTTTCCATCAACTGACTGACTCTCACTGCCCTCCGTTTGAATCGTCCTTGCACCCATTCTGCCTGACAGATGCATGTCATGTGTGCCAGCTAGTTGAAAGTCTCAGGTTTACATCTGGTTCTCTACTAACCTTCCCTTTTTCTCTTTCTCCTCCTCTTCCTCCTCTCCTCTTGTTTTCTCTCCGTCCTGTCGCTGCTGCAGAGCGTCTCTACAGCCAACTTGAGCGAAACCGCCTGCTTTCTAATGAGCTGAAGCTAACGCTGCATGATCTATGTGACTGATGGCAGGGCTCCCTGATGCCCATTAACCCAGCTTATTGCTCACACCACTGACCTGGACCCCAGCAAAAAGCTGATTGTCTCTTGAAAGTTTACTAAGTTGCCCTAAGCAAATTGCTTTTCAACTGGGGCGGTTAGAGTATTGTTGACGTCCTGTGTAGTAGGAATGTTTAATACTGCATTTCTATCCCTTTTCAAGAGCTTGTGGGTGATGAAGGGAGGGGCCTGAGAGGTTATAGTGAGAAAACTTGGGAGAGTTTTCTGCTTTCCACCCTTATTTGCTGCTCCTTGACTTGTGCACTGACTGTAGGATACTTCCCTTGCATGGATGTTTTCTAACAATAAAAGGAATGACTTGACAAGATGTGGTAACTGCTTTATCTGCAGGCCCAGCGATGGGCCCTTCTGACTGGATGCAAAAAAAGGGCGTGGAATATTCATAGATCTGTGTGCCATCACCTTCCCTGAGTGAAAGATCTGAGTATTTTCCCACCTCCATAGAGCAGTCAGAGAGGTTTGCTTTCTGCGCAGATTAGATTCTCTTTGATGTCCAGCTGCTGGTTTTCTTCCTGACATTTTCCATGCTGCTTTTTCCTGATTTTATGTTTAATTTTAACTAACTGTGTCACAGGCTAGTTCTGAATAAACACTGCAAAAATCTTAAGGTTTTGCTTACACGTATACGTTTGATAGTATTCTTGGCTTTATTTCCTTTACAGATATTTTACTTAACTGTGGGGGTTCTTTTATTTATCCCACCAATGGTTCCTTTCCTCTCTAGCTCATGAGAATCCCCCTGTACGCTTTTCAAGTTGAGATCCTAATGTTTCTATGGTAGACATATACCCATTCTTATTCTCTGTGGTCAGACCTCAGTGAGCCATTGTTCCCTGGGCAAAGCGTAAAGGAACTGATGGTGATGTTTAAGGCTGCCTCCTTTGGGGCCTGAAAGCGATAAGGCTCATTGGGTGTGGGAAGTAGAGGAAATGACTGATAAGGTTCCCAACTCCCCCAGAAGTACAGCAGCGCCTGTAACTTCAGTAGGCAAGCCAGAGGCCCTGCACACCAAGTGATGCAATAGCTCACTTCTGTGGCTGAGAAGGCAACTGCTTTATTAGTCTGCACTTCCCTGCAACAGGAGCAGTTCGCAGAGTGGGTAGACCTTGAAGTGGACTTCTGGTTTTTAATGTCTCTCCTTTACCCCCATTAGATAAACTGAAATGCACCAAAGAGGAACACCTCTGTACACAAAGGATGCTGGACCAGACTCTGCTGGACCTGAATGAGATGTAGAGCACCCAGCCCCGCCCTGCGGCTGCTCCCCCCTCTGACCCGACTCCGCCTGAGGCCAGCCTGCTTGAAGCTGACCTTTAAACTGAGGGCTGATCTTTAACTGGAAGGCTGGTTTCTCCTTTCACTGCCCCCCCCAACCCCCCGCGTCTTTTTCGCCAAATTATCTCTGCCCCCCCTCAGAGATTTTGATTGGGCTAGAGGCTGAGCACCTTTGGGAACAACATTTAAGGGAATGTGAGCACAATGCAAAGTGTCTTTAAAAGCATGTTGTGATGTACACATTTTGTAATTACCTTTTTTGTTGTTGATGTGGCAACCATTTGTAAAACATTCCAGATAATTCCACAGTTCTCGAGCAGCAGTCTCATCCCTTCTCGCT